AATTGGGAGGTAACGAGAATTACAGAAAATTTGGTAAGAAAATAGTGTTTAAATCTTAAAAATACGGAAATAGGCCAGGACCTTCATATGAGGGCTAAGTCAAAATATGGACTTATATTTATGATTTTCTGCATAGTTGTATGTCAGCCTCACAAATCCGAAACACTAAATTACAGACAAAAATATGGAAATACGTCAAAAATCTTCAAAATATCGGAGTGAAGCGGGACCTTTTTTCGGGAGCTGTAGAAAAACGATGGCCGATATTGAAGATAGATACTAGAAGGAGTGGACCGATAAATCTTATATTACATAATTATACATGCATGGTTAAAATATAAGGTTGTGAAAAATGTACTTAAAATCGGTATTACATTAAAAAATTAATTTCAGCAAAAATTTGTTTCCAATTTGTGTGGGAGGTACCAGAAGTAGAGGATTACCACATTTTAAAAAAATTTACACATTGTGAGGTAGGGAGGGAGAGAGGCAGTCGGACGGAAGGGACATTGGTAAATCGAATCCACATTGTCTGAAACTAATTTGATCCAAGCAAACATGGGGTCTAAAACCAATATTTCGATTAGGTACATTTTTGTCGTATCAAAGTTCATATACTCTCATTGGCCATAAGGCTGAGGGTATAAAAATCGCACTAACATTTCTATGAAATTCAATTCCGTCCCAGGCCAATGTTGCTCCTTTTCAATTTGAACCTATATTTCTAACATGCACACAGACAAAAAATGATTATAATACCAATCAAGCTTTATTTTTATGGTTCATGTACCTCACCTAAAATACGAGTACAATTTCTTATAATCTTCAGAAAGCCACAATTTTTTCAAAAATATGTAAAAGTTTCATTAATTGCAAAACTATTTTCTTACTTCGTCTTACTTTAACACTTTTTACGCTCATTTGTTATTCTCTTTTTTGCTATTCTAACGAATGCATCCCTAAAAAACACCATTCACTGCATCTCCTTTCACTTGATGGTTGTTAGTTTTGTAACGGTGTGTTTGGCTTTTCAATCTAACAAACTCCGTATCCCTACATACTGGATTGTGGTTAGTTTAGCAATGTATTGCCTGCTCTGCATTGCTATTATAAAATTCACATATGTGTTTTCCAAATTATTTCGATATAAACTCCAGATGTTATAAGTCAGTGTTTAACATTGTTATATCGCAAGATTGTTCTAATTTTGACTTGCAAACATAGACGTGAATAAGGCAAAAAGACAAGACATAGCAGAGATAAATCAACCGATTAATTGCTAATCTGATCTCATCTAGGTTAGGTGGTATACACTCTATACCGTCATCTCTTATAGGCTCTGGGGCAGCTACTTCACTGGTACTATTTGAAGCTTTTCAAAATGCTCCTTCCAGATCCTCAACACTCTGTTTGTATATATCACCAGGTTTCCTTCGATATATCTACAGGATGTGCCTGAACCAAAACCTTCGGTGTGGTGTTTTACTCGTTGGTAAAATTTCCGGACATCATTCTGACTCCTGTAAATCTCGATTTGCTCACGCTCACGTTATTCGTGTTTTTTCTTTTGAAAATGCGTTTCTCCTCTCCCCTTTTCTCCTCTATCTTTTATTTTCTCCTTTCTTGCATTGCGCGTTGCTTCCGTTTGCAGGGTTGCCATATATGATGCGTTTTTCACATCAGTAGCATTACGATACTCATGATCGTAGCACGGATTTCCTGATGGCCTGTATTATAGCATGTCTCGTCTCGCCCTGTATTATAGCATGTCTCGTTTCATGACAGCTATAATACAGGGCGTAATCATCTGATTTACTTACGCCAGTCCATTTCCATCACATTTCCTATAAGGCAATAATATTAAATGAAAGAGGGACCTAGATAAGCCTGGGCTTTGCCATGTTAAATACAATTAGAGCTGTGGTATCTATCATTGCCTACATCACCCTTAATGAGTGGTTGGCTGGATTAAATAGAAAACCATAATTCAATTTTTTGGAAACCTCGAATGAGGGCTCATATTATTTAATAGTAAAAGCTCTTTTTTTTGAGAAGCTCTCGTTATCTAATCTACCTACCAAAAAATATAAATATCGGCCTATCATTGTGCCTTGACCCCATAAGGCCCTACGTGTTTTTTTTTCAATCGAAGTAGATGTAATTTGTAGTTTCGGGACATTGGTGTTTAAAAAACTTCTTTCCAGATAGATCTATATAAAGGGAATCATATTCATTATGTTGAATATGGTTCCCTTTTCGATTTTTTCTGTCCGCAATTTTTACTTATTTTTACGGAGAATAATAATACTCATGTTCTGACATAATTATCTGACATTGTTAAAAACGATATCAAACAAAGGACACAACTTTTCTTGGGACTTTTGAATACAGTCGTTATAACCGAAATGTCGTTATAAACAATTTCAGTTTATAAGGGTCCAAATCGATATGAGGCATTTTGAATGTCTACCTCAAGGTGGAGGGTATAAAAGTTCGGTTCTACATTTCCGTAGATAACATGTTTCCTTTCAAATCTATGTGCGGTGATCTAATAAATTGAAATGATTCACACACCTCATAACTTCTGGTCTGGTGCTAAGTAGCAGAATTGTGTTCAACATGACACAATTGCACTGACACGGATCATCATTTGCATATCAATGCAGGCAACTGTCATGATTTCGTTTTTTTTTTTTCATTTGTATTTTCTCGAAAAGATTGAAGCGTATCATCAAAATGGAAATTTCTAAAAAAATTGAGGTAATACTGACGAATCAGTCAGAATTCCTTGTCGTACTAAACGTACCCCCCACCTTGATGGTGTCTAAGCAGAACATGAAATGCGCAGTAGTCAGTTAGTTAATTTGTTTGTTCCTCATCTTAGATCAGACGACGATGATGACCCGGAAAGTGGCCGTCGTCTTTGTGTGTGACTTTGTTGGCGATTGTGGGAGGTTGATTTCGAAGTGATCATTAAATGAAAAAATTAGTCGGGAATTTGTGTTTTGAAATAATTGCAATTTTATTAAGTCGCACAAACACACAATCGCATATACACATGCCACAATTATTGTTATTAGTTGTTGCTGTTGGCATGACAAAATTGTTGTTGTTCTGGATGATGGGCTTAGATAATTTGAAGGAAAAATAAATGTGAGAAAAAATTTTAAAACAATAGAATTATTGTTAATTTGTTGAAATTTTGTCATGATTGCAACTCATAAAAAATATATTTTTTTAAAAATCCGGACATATTTTGGTATTCAAAAAATACTTTTTTAAAAAATCCACGCCTATGGTAGGCCTTGAAAAAATATTCTTTAAAAAATCCACGCCTATGGTAGGCCTTGAAAAAATATTCTTTAAAAATTCCACGCCTATGGTAGGCCTTGAAAAAATATTCTTTAAAAATTCCACGCCTATGGTAGGCCTTGAAAAATATTCTTTAAAAAATCTACGCCTATGGTAGGCCTTGAAAAAATATTCTTTAAAAAATCCACGCCTATGGTAGGCCTTGAAAATTATTCTTTAAAAAATCCGCGCCTACGGTAGGCCTTGAAAAAATATTCTTTAAAAAATCCACGCATATGGTAGGCCTTGAAAAAATATTCATTAAAAAATCCACGCCTATGGTAGGCCTTGAAAAAATATTCTTTAAAAAATCCACGCCTATGGTAAGCCTTGAAAATTATTCTTTAAAAAATCCGCGCCTATGGGAGGCCTTGAAAAAATATTATTTAAAAAATCCACGCATATGGTAGGCCTTGAAAAAATATTCTTTAAAAAATCCACGCCTATGGTAGCCCTTAAAAAAATATTCTTTAAAAAAATATTCTTTAAAAAATCCACGCCTATGGTAGGCCTTGAAAAAATATTCTTTAAAAAATCCACGCCTATGGTAGGCCTTGAAAAAATATTCTTTAAAAAATCCACGCCTATGGTAGGCCTTGAAAAAATATTCTTTAAAAAATCCACGCCTATGGTAGGCCTTGAAAAAATATTCTTTAAAAAATCCACGCCTATGGTAGGCCTTGAAAAAATATTCTTTAAAAAATCCACGCCTATGGTAGGCCTTGAAAAAATATTCTTTAAAAAATCCACGCCTATGGTAGGCCTTGAAAAAATATTCTTTAAAAAATCCACGCCTATGGTAGGCCTTGAAAAAATATTCTTTAAAAAATCCACGCCAAGGTAGGCCTTGAAAAAAATATTCTTTAACACATCTTCGCCTATGGTAGGCCTTAAAATATATCCTTTAAAAATCCAAGCTTATGGTAGGCCTTGAAAAAATATTCTTTATTAAATCCACGCCTATGGTAGGCCTTGAAAAAATATTCTTTAAAAAATCCACGCCTATGGTAGGCCTTGAAAAAATATTCTTTAAAAAATCCACGCCTATGGTAGGCCTTGAAAAAATATTCTTTAAAAAATCCACGCCTATGGTAGGCCTTGAAAAAATATTCTTTAAAAAATCCCCGCCTATGGTAGGCCTTGAAAAAATATTCTTTAAAAAATCCACGCCTATGGTAGGCCTTGAAAAAATATTCTTTAAAAAATCCACGCCTATGGTAGGCCTTGAAAAAATATTCTTTAAAAAATCCACGCCTATGGTAGGCCTTGAAAAAATATTCTTTAAAAAATCCACGCCTATGGTAGGCCTTGAAAAAATATTCTTTAAAAAATCCACGCCTATGGTAGGCCTTGAAAAAATATTCTTTAAAAAATCCACGCCTATGGTAGGCCTTGAAAAAATATTCTTTAAAAAATCCACGCCTATGGTAGGCCTTGAAAAAATATTCTTTAAAAAATCCACGCCTATAGTAGGCCATGAAAAAATATTCTTTAAAAAATCCACGCCTATGGTAGGCCTTGAAAAAATAGTCTTTAAAAAATCTTTAAATAATCTTTAAAAATCCACGCCTACGTTTTCTTAAAAAATCCACCTTCCTGCGGAGAAAATATTTATTTATTAACCAATTTTTACTCCTTGTCTTCCACAGCTCAACAAAACGTTTTAAAATGCTGGCGTTGTTCAACAGATGTTTCCAATGGTGAATTCTGCAACGATCCCTTCGAACCCAATGGCATTACAGATCAACAACGTTACTGGAGCTACGTCAATTGCACCTACAATTTGGGATTCAAGGCAGTGAATGCCCGGCCCGTATGCAAAAAGCTGGTACAGGAAGGTAAGGCCCAAACAAAAAAAGAAAAAATATTTATTTACATAATCCGCAACCATTCAATTAGCTTTAAGGTAGATTGAAAAGAAAAACAATTTATTTAATCCATTAAATAAATGGAAATTTTAAAACACACGCCCATTATATTGTCAGAGGTGGATGATTCACATTAATATGCTTGATTGCAAATAATAACCTGGATGGATGCACTCCCAGAGATGTTTTTTTTATTGCGGAATAGATATTTACATTGCTGTAAGCGTGTTAAACAGGCATGGCTCTAAATGATGTTGAGAATTTTTTTATTAAGTGTTCATTTTCTGTCTTAATGATCTATTCATTTATTAAATACTAGCCGCAACAGAATGAATGAAATTCAATCGCTCATCATCAGCTATCTGAGAATAAGATCACGTGCGCAGTCTCCGATATGACAGATGCAATTTAGTTGAAATTTATGGCATTTTAATAAATGCAACAACAAAAATGCGCAGTTGTTGGATATCATTTCTCGAAAAAATTTTTTCTTTGAAAATGCAAAACCTTAAAACCTTTTACAAAAAATCGACACCTTAAAGCATTTACACATGCCTTGTAAAAATAACTTCTTAAAAAAAATATTAAAAAAAACGCGTTGAAAAAAACGTCTTTATAAAAATTATTAAAAATCCAAGCCTACATTTTTATATCTATGCCTTCATATAAATTCATGAAAAAACCCACACATACACTTTTTTTAATGCGTGCTTTGATATTAATCCATTCAAAAACCATCGACTGGAGCAAAAAATTCAATTTTTAAAGAAAAATCAGTCCTTAAGAAAATTCCCTTCAAAAATCAGCGACTTGAGAAACATATTTTTAAACCAGTGAGCTGAGCAGTATGGTCAGACGGCGTCAATTACTTAAAATCAATCTATAATATAGGGGAACTATATCTAAATCTCAACCGATTTTCACGAAACTTGGCACACATCATTCTGGATTAAATTCAGTACACTATGCAACATAAGAACTTTGGCACATTATTTACATGAAATCGGACGAAACTAAATATGGGAGCTACATCTAAATCTGGGCCGATTTTCACGAAACTTGGCAGACATCATTCCAGCATCAATTAAGTACGCTATGCCAAATTTTGGGCAAATCGAAAGATATATGTGAACTTTGGTGTACCATTTACATGAAATCGGACGAAACTAAATATGGTAGCTATATCTAAATCTGGGCCGATTTTCACGAAACTTGGCAGACATCACTCTAGGCTCAATTCAGTACGCTATGCCAAATTTTGGGCAAATCGAAAGATATATGTGGACTTTGGTGCACCATTTACATGAAATCGGGGGAAACTATATATGGGAAACTTGTCAGACATCACTCTAGGCTCAATTCAGTACGTTATGCCAAATTTCGTGTAAATCGAAAGATATATAGGGACTTTGGTGCACCATTTACATGAAATCGGACGAAACTAAATATGGGAGCTATATCTAAATCTGGGCCGATTTTCACGAAACTTGGCAGACATCACTCTAGGCTCAATTCAGTACGCTATGCCAAATTTTGGGCAAATCGAAAGATATATGTGGACTTTGGTACACCATTTACATGAAATCGGTGGAAACTATATATGGGAAACTTGTCAGACATCACTCTAGGCTCAATTCAGTACGTTATGCCAAATTTCGTGTAAATCGAAAGATATATAGCGACTTTGGTGCACCATTTACATGAAATCGGACGAAACTATATATGGGAGCTATATCTAAATCTGGACCGATTTTCACAAAACTTGGCAGACATCATTCTAGGCTCAATTCAATACGTTATACCAAATCTCGTGCAAATCGAAATATATATAGGGACTTTGGTACACCATTTACCTTAAATCGGACGAAAATATATATGAGAGCTATATCTATATCTGAACCGATTTTTTCTAATTTCAATAGTGTTCGTGCTTGGGCCAAACAAATGAGTTGTGCAAAATTTCATCCAAATCGGATTATAAATGCAACATGTACTTTGTTTACAATTTAACACCAACAGACGGACGGACATGCATAAATCGACTCAGAAAGTGATTCTATGCATATTCTCAAAAGGAACTATGGGTATATTTCGTTTCCTTTTGCCTGTTACAAACCAAATGCACAAAGACATAATACCTTGTACCACAGTGTGGTGAAGGGTATAAACCAGGGTTAGCCAACAATACATATGCAAACTGCTATGATTGTGTTGGACACACGCATAGATCCGTTGGGAGAGTAACTTTCGCTCTCTCGGTACAGATCGTCTATGTTAAAGCATTGCAAAGCATACGACATGTTCGATGTCGAGAATAATGTTGAGTTCGAACACAGAACTGTGATTGTATTGGTACTCTCCCAAAGCGCCCACGGGCGCCTGTTTGGTGAACAGTGGTATAAACATGCCTGCAGGAAAGAAAAAAACTGTCTTAAAAAGTCATTCCTTAGAAAAAAAAAACTCCTTTGGAAAATATTTACTTAGAGTAAAGTACTTGTTTTTAATAACCTTGGAAAATTGTTTCTTTTTTTAATTCAAGCTTTAAAAAAATTTAAAAATTTTTTGAGTTTTTAAGTTTTATGCCTTTTTGGGGTGAAGGATCATTCATGTAAATATTTTTATTAATGTCTCTTTCAAGATGAGCTACATGATTGAAGTTGCAATGAAAAGGAAAACCAAAGAGATACTACATTCCCACCATTTTTGCTTATAAAAATTACTATCTTCAAAAAAATAAGTCTCTTGAAAAAATGTTTTAAAATTTAGATTTTGAGAAAAAAAAAAACATATAAAACTTCCAAAAAAGGAGAATAGTTGTTCATGAAAAAAATTCTCAGCTTTCAGAAACATATTTTTAAAACCAGTGAGCGGATCAGTATAGTCGGACGGGGCCGACCATTTGATATCCTACACAAATTCCACGAAACTATAACTTTCTGTGGTTCTATATTCTGAGCTTGGGCAATATTTCGCGATATTTCCACCTTCTTGACCGACTAGAGGTCAACAAATATTCAGTACAACCCTTCAATCACTTGTCCAGATTCCCTTCGCCGTGGGTTGTATTGTGATGCTCGGCTTGTGGCATATAGATCGACTCAAAAAAAATAAGTTTTCGGTCCACTTCATCCCAAAATTATTATCTGATCATCACCAAAAATTATAGGCGATATCGGTGACCATAACTTAAACCTCATGGAGAATTTCAAAGCGATCAGCGCTATATTTCCGCCCTCTAGTGTGGTAATGGGTTACTAAACTATATATAATAAATATTTATGTGTAAATTTTTATGTGTAAGTCCCGCATCCGATCACCTTCTCCGTGCAAAAATTCGCGGTGTTTGGGTCATAATTGCGGCCTCTGGAGCGACCAGAAAAAGTTTTTGGTCCATTTCATCCCCTAAATATTAACCGATCTTTTCCAAAAACAATAGGGGTCTTCATTGGCCAGAACCCATCCTACATGCAAATTTTCGTGAAGATTGGTCCATAACTGTGGCCTGTATCGTGTTTACAAATTATAATGGACAGACGGACGGACGGACGGACACACATGTCTAGATCGACTCAGCTAGTCGAGATATGACGATCGGTATACTTAAAGGTGGGTCCAGGACCAATATTTCGCGGCGTTGCAAACTTTTAGGGCTGCACAAAGCTATAATACCCTGACAACATAGTTGTGTAGGGTATAAATATTATTATGTAGAAATCAAGCCATCACAATAAATATATAAATAAAAAATAAACTCCTTAAAAAGTCTTCCTTCAAAAGCAAAGGTAAGTCTTTAAACAGTCCACAGAATGCTAGTTCTTCCTTAAAGAAGGAAGATTCTTGAAGGAATCTAAAACACCATAAAATCAAATTTATTTTTGAAGAAAATTTCACTCTACGAGAAAAGTATCTACTCATAGGGCTAAGAAAAATAAATATAAAAACCTTACATTTTTATTTTCAATATTACCATGCTTTTCTATAAATTTAAATAATTCCCATTCGACACCAATTCCAACACCGCAAAACATATTATTACATATCATTTTCATTTGTGAAAAATATAGATACGGAGAATTTTTCCTAATTGTTTATGATTTTTATCAATTTTCAACATTGCATGTGGTAAATATTGACGAGGGACACAGCAGAGCTGTGGCACGCCTATGGCATGGCATGCAGAATTTAAATTGATATGGGGCAAAATGGAAAGCTATTCGGAGTACATGGAGAAAAAATGAATAACCCACATAACAAAAGAAAAAAAGAAGAAAAATGGGTCAGTGGGTCTGGTTTCTCAGAGAAAGAATAAATAAGTCGGGCCTGAGGCTAAACCACGAAGGAACGAAACTTGTCCCATCCTTATTCCCGAATTTCTTAAAGTGTATTACTAAATTAATCCATATTTTTGTTGCACTCTATAATTGCCTACAATTATAGACATAAATCCGCAAAAATATGAAAACCGTATGAGGAGGGGAAAACAAAAACTCCGCCTTTTCAAAAAACCCCCCGCCGCCCCAAAACAAATTGCAAACGCCACATTTTGTAGCTCTTGAGCTGCGACCATTAATATCGACAAACTGCTATATAAATATAGACAAATGAAATAGTTTTCAGCGACAACGAAACAAAAAAGGCGAACATTTAATAATTAAAAAACGCAACATTTTCAGACAAATAAACAGCGGAAAAGTTACAGCAACAAAAAATAATAATAAATAATTAAGTTGTTTTAATTGAAAAACGTATAAAGTCATAAATAACAAAGACAACAACAAATTAATATTTTTTTGATTGAGTCTTGAATTATGATTTTTTTCATTTTCAAATACTTTTGGTAGTCGTTTACATCATTGTCTTCTTCGCCGTCGTCGATCATTGATTGACTAGTTGAGACTGGTTGAGCTGAGCTGAGCCGAGCCTACCATTAATTAAATGACGGTATCGATTTGGATTGCTGTGATTGGACT